GTTGAAGATTTGCTTTTGATGCATAGCTCTGATGATTAGTACAAGATTGTATTTTGAATTTTTGGACCTTATGTTTGGTCATAGTAGATTCTTGTACTAATGGACCCAAATGTATATGAATATGTATTTCTTTGTTATGAAATACGTATTACATGCAATGTGTGGGCTGGGGCGTTACWTAAATATTATAAAATATATTTTAAAATATAATAAATATACTAGTAAAAAAATATATATTTATTAATAATTTATATTAATTAAAATATAATCTAAACAAATAAAAAACAGAAAATAAAATAAATAATATATATTTATTAATAATTATATTAATTAAAATATAATATAAATAAAAAAAACAGAAAATAAAATAAATAATATATATTAATTAATAATTTTCTTTAAATAATAATAAAATAAAAAGTAATAATAACAAAAAGATAAAAAAAACAAAAAACCATAAAACAAATCATGTTGAAGCCTACTTAGGGGTGCCAATGGTAACCCATAGGGGTGTCATTAGCCTCCCCATTTAATTCTAAATGGTACCAAACATGAGAAAATCTCGTTTGCAAATATTCAACGATTGTGACGTTTATTATTCTACACAAAATATTTCATCATTTATCAAAAATTAAAATTGGGAGAAATTACAAAAATAAATGCAAACATTTCTTTTTGAAGAAAAAGACACCGGTAATTTACTAATTCTAGTTATAGATTGAAACTCACCCTGTTGGCCGATTATCTATTGGTATCTGATCTTAAGAGGTTGGAATTCCTACGTTTGATGGGTAACGAGGCATAGACGAGGCTTATTTTCATACCCAAAGCGGGTTTGGTGCGGGCTTTGGGGATGACATTATCCGCCTCTAAGCTGACCTGGATTATTTTTTATTTTATTTTATTTAATTTAATATATGGTGTTTAAATAAATATATATGTGTATATGTATACATTTATGATTAAATGAAAAATATATATATATATTTTTAATATTGGTAGTTAATGTAATGATGATTCATTATAATCTTAATTTTTTTATACTAAAACGGGTACCAAACATGTTTCTTGAACCTGCCGGGGATTAGTCGCAGACGGGGGCTTAAACGGGGCCGGGATGCGTTACCTTCCCGATACCTGCCCCTATCCATCCTAAATTCTAGTCCGAATTTGTTTGTGTACAAGATTTTGCCATGTGTTGTCAAACAAATCCAACGTTTTTTTATCATCTCATAGGGGCAGACCCGTTATGGTGGATACAATGGTACAAGTCACCAATTTATTTCCTCGTCATATTGTAAACTTTTTAATATCGTGAAAGATGGGTGGGTGCAACTATTTATTATTTTAAACTACAATAACAACACAAGTTTCACTTAGAAGGGTTGGTGTAACAAGGCATCCAAATAGATCGGAACGTCCCTGTCTAGAAAGATTGGGTTCCGATGAGAAACGTAAGAAAAAATCTCCACAATCTGATCAATCATAATCGAATGTCAACACTAATAAGATGCACCGAGATACACCAGATCAATTCTCTTCTAAAAAACGCAAGTGATCAATGGTTCAAATATTTTCTTACATTTCTCACCAGAACTTTCATTCGCACACGATCTTTCGCCTATATATGTACGTAGATGATCGTGTAAGAATAAGAGTTAACGAGAGAAATGTAAGAATGGATCTGAAACCTTCATCACTTTTAATGGGAAAAATTGATCTGGTACAACTCATCTCATATCTATTCTATATCATAAAGCATTTGCCAAAAACTCTTAAAAATAATTTTTTATGCACGAAATACGGTTTATTAATGCATATTACTTAAATTTAAATTACAAGTAAATTGTGCATAAGTACAATTTACTAAAGCTCCATATTTGAATTCGTGTAACTAACTGCAGATAAACATAATCAAATACCAAATAAATATCTCATTTTAAAAATAAAAAATCTAAAATATAATTAGGATAATCATTGAGTTCTAACAGAATACTTGGTTATTATCTTTATAAAAAACTATGTTATTAAACGTAAATTAAATTACTTCGTTACTAAATCTAAATTAAATTATAATAACAAATTGAATTAAAGAAATTACAACAAAACAAGAATTTTTAAAAAAGTTAATTTGATACTCATATCAATATATATATTTTTTCAAATTTATATTTTATTAGAAAATAAAAAAATTATCGCGTTCTCAAGACCACATAAAACCGTATTATATCGACATAAAAAATAAATAAAATGAAATACTGAAATCGAGATGCATCTCGATACATTAGACGAATACTTTTATAATATACAAATAATATAATGAATGAAAAAAGTATATAGGGGACAAGGTGAGTTTAAAAAAGAGATGGGTATTAAAGAATATGCGACGAATAATTCGGTTTTTAATGTATGATATGGAGGTGTCCCTCTCTTGGCACTTTGTAAAGCTAAAGCTACCCGTTTATATGTGGAAAATTGTGAGCAAATCATTTATTATTATTTTTATTATTAAATAATACAATAATTATTCAACATTACAAGTCATGATCTCTATATTAATCTTAATTTAATAACAATATTTGATTCATAAAAACTTATACAGTTAAATCAACTGTTAATGATTTCGATAAAGAAAACTATACATTAATACTGAAAACTTATCAAATGGTCTTTGGTTTAGCAGTATTCAGGCTATCAACAGAGGCCCATTTTCGTAGAGATCAATAATTTAAACTTCACCAAAGATGAGAAGAGCTTGTAAATTTCATTTGTTGTATATAAATATTATTTAATTAAAAATTAAATAAAAAATGTTCCAATTTTACGAAATCTAGAAGTATATAAATTTATTTCAAAGTAGGTAACATGATGAGGCATGAGGAGTGTCGTTTAGCGATTGTTATATAAAAATAAGGACTAACAATAGATTCTGCATTTTTTTAAATTATTAAAAAAAAAATATTTTATGTATTATTACTTTTAAATCTAATAATATAAAGGGGTTTTATTATTATTATTATTTAATAAATAAAAATTATTTATTCTAGGAAATTCAATTGCCATATATCTCATACATACATCTATAATTAAACGTGCACAATGTGTTCATAAATGGTAAGTTTAGGTCTAATTTTGTTATTTTATCTGGTGTTCATAATATGTTTTATAAGTTATATCAGAGATCTCATAGATTTAAAATGTATTCATAAATTATAATTTTTTTAAAATTATATTATGTTTGTAATTAAATTAAAAATAATAATATTTTGGTCAAATATGTATTTTGATATCTTGACTTCACTTGGTCAATAGTCATGGCTATTGGAGAAGTTGAATGGACATGGGATACCACATAGTTGGATTATATTATCTTAAACATTTTATTAAGTCATATAATGTTTTATTTAATAAATAATATTTGTTTATTTGATAAGATTTTGAAATATAAATTAAATATCTATTTTATTTAAAATAATATTTTTAAAGTTAGGTAGAAAAACAGAATAATATTGCATTTAGATTACAAATCAGATATAAGAGAAGAAGAAAAAGGTTTAACACAATCTGTATGCTATTGTTATCATTTAAGAAACTTTCTATAATCGCTATTTCCTGATGGTCCCGAAAAACGTAACATACACTTCATTTTTGACAAAGTTGTTTTTGTATTACTTATCCAACTTTAATAACCACTGATTTACTTTACGTTTCAATTACATTGACTTAAGTTTACAAACTTGTTTTTTGGTTTATTTTAATTTAACGCCACAAAATTTGTTCACCCCGACGTACACGGATCGTGTGTATCCTCTAACAAAAGATGAAGTTTAGAGGCGTGATGGTTCAATACCCAAAGAGGTTGGGCTTGTTTTTCAAGATTTATAAACACGTTCAAATTGATGAGGCAACAATAGTCGATGGAGGTTAGATTCGAGCCTCAAATGGATGGAAATGGAACCGGATTTCATTTCTCATTTGTTGCTAAGAAAGCATGGAAGAGAGATAACATATTCAGATGTTTTTGTTGCTTGTATGTCGGTTTTACGTTATATTTTTAGAAGTATGTGCATTTATTGCACAATTTTTATCTCTATTTAGTTCTTAATGTTTCATAAATCATGGTGAATATGAAAACCACAAATTCACTTAGCGTAGAATAGTATCTCAAGGGTGTTCTAGACAAAATGCAAAGAATAAGACGACTTTGTCCAAATACAAGACAGGTCCTGGGTTCGATCCTGGATCCTTCACTAATCTCAGCTGTTGAATAAGTCAAAAAAACGTCTCATCATATTGGTTTTCTTAGAAGCTGGTTTTGTGCGGGACCAGTTATGATTGTCGGTAATCAAATTTTTATAAAAAAAAAAACCCATTCATAATTAAAAAAGAAAGTATATCAAGGATAGGGGGCTTTCGGCTCATAGACCAAAAGGGGAAAGTTAAAACCCACCATAAACATCAACTCTTCTTAATAGGAAAATATTCAAAAAGTAGAAGATAAAGCCCCTGAAATGTTGTCTTAATAAAAATAAAATATTAAAAATAATTCAATAATAATTTAAAGAAATTTGTGTTTGAATCTTGTCCTAACTCACAATCTCAACCACAGTCACTGCTGCAAACACAAGGAAAAGAACACCTCCAACATATGCAATCACCTATACAATGTACCATTCAACATTAATGTTTTCAAATAACAAAAATCCAAATAATAAATTTAACAAATACCTCTTCTTGTAGGAGATGGATAAAGATATAAAATAGAAGCAAGAATATAAAAGATTTGGAGACGTTAAAGGAACGATGTTAAACGCTTCATCATTCAAATTAAACAGCGCAAATATGCTCTTTTAGGTCTCGTTAACGAATGACGGATAGGATGAGGGGTAACAAATCCAAACATGAATTCATTCAGGGATCAACACAAATTGCGTAAGTGCTGACTAAGAGGTTGTTTGGTTGGTTTTCCATTAAATCCTGTATGAATGAAGCTGTCTGTGTGTGGATTAAAACTGTCTAGCATAGATCGGGAAGGTTTTTGTTTGAAAGAATTTTTTTCATAGACTGAATGAGTGTGGTTTTATTTGGGAGGGACAGGTTTGGAAAAAAAACTTGGCTTTTTGCATAAAGCTCACCCCAAGAAACTAACTGAATCAACTACTTTATATATCATTAAGTCACTACTAAACGGTTATATATAGCTGACCAAATAAGCTGTGAGTCTCATTAAGCCGCTAACAAACAGGCCCTAAGTAAAAGTGTAATTTGGGTAAAAGGTTCGGTCAGGGTAGACATTGACTGAAGCACTAACCGAGTCATAAAACAACCCCTTAGTGGGTCAGCATCTTGGTCAGCATATTAGTTGTTCAGAGTATGATGTTAAACAACATCCCTTCTTAATTATTCCGACTAATTTTAGGACCTGAATTGTCATCTAACATAACACCTACCAGCAATATACAACTAAAAGGTCTGACAATTTTATCTCCACTGAATATAGTCCGTTGATAATCAAAGGATGTGACTTAAAAAACAAGTAGGCAAACATCAAGTTCCAGACTAGATGCATGTAATCTATTCTGTTTTTTGTTGTCTTTCTGACAGGAATATATGTGTCACTGTAACTTGCATTATATTTCTAATTACATCCAAACCATTATGGTCTTGGTTTCGGCAGTATTAGCATGAAGAGGAAACATTTGTCTGTGCTTTTACTACATCAATTACCATTTGGTTTCTTTTATCGCCTAGAGGAAGTGGCTTTCATTCCGTTTTGATGAATTTTACAGCGCAGGTTCTTGTTTATATACGTTCTGCTGTGTTTTATCATTTTTTCATGTTCTGATTGTTTTTATTGTCACATTGGAATGAGAATGTAAGGGTGTGGTTGGCTTCCAGTGAGAATGAAATTTATGGTGAGAAGGGATCTCCACCCCTGGATCACTCCTAATCGAAGAGAACCACTAGATCAATTCCCTTCTAAAGCGCAATTCATCGATTGTTTTGGATTAAAAGTGATCAAGGGTCCAAATCCCTTCTTACATTTCTCACCTTAACTCATATTCTTACACCAGCGGTGTTCTATTATAAGCACATATAATTATGTCGGTATGATCAAAGGTTTTATCTTATTTGTGACAACATGAGGACCGGCATTACTTTCCAAAAGTGCCATTGAAGAGAGAAAGTAAGTTCCAACATATATTGAAAAGAAAAGGTCAAAGTCCCAACACCCCCTCCAACATAGGGTAGATAGACAGTCAGACAGAGGTTGTCCAGAGTGTCGAGAGGGGGCTAGATGTTTATAGATTGCCTTGGAATGTCGAGTCCCTGGAGTGGTAGACCTAGGCTATGGTATCATGTAACAATATCTGGAACCCATTAGATTACTCTCCAAAAAAGCCAAGTGATTGAGGATAGAGGGTTCAAGTCTAGCTGATGTTGACTCCAACATTAATATATGAGAAAATGTAGATAATGTGTTGTTAAATGTTGTGGTACGGACACTTTTGATCAAGTTAAAATGACTAACCTTTTCGGATAAGAAAGTTCCCAGTAACGAGCCTCCAAGGACAGCCAGCTGAATGCAGCCATTAGAAACAAAAACTGGTTTCATTATATACAAAATATTCAAAGACTAAAGTTTCAAAAGAACAGAGAAAAGGTTCAAACAAAGAGAGAGCATCATGTACTTGCAACAAAGGACGGTATTGAGGGTAAATTAAATTTCAGCGTTGAAAAAGATCAACTTGTTACTTGTATTTTATCTAAAAGTTACTACACATTCCATTTCATGAAACCTGCACATAGTTTTATATCGCGTTTTAACAATTAGGGGCTGTTTGGTTGGTTTTAAGTCAAGTCTTATATGGATAAAGTTGTCTATGTGTATTAATTTGTCTGTATAGATCGGGAAGACTTTTGTTTGGGAGGGTTTTCCATAGATGGAAGGAGCATTGTTTTTAATTGGGAGGGACATGTTTGGAAAAAACTTGGCTTTCTGCATTACCCCCCCCCCCTTAGAAGCTTACTAAATAAGTCATTTTCTATATCATTCCACTACCAAACAGTCATGTATAGCTGACCAAATAAGCTGTGAGTCCCGTTATTAAGCTGCTAACAAAGTCAAATATCTAAAATGTTCTTTTAATAATGACAAAATAGAGCAATCTTGTGAACCTTAGTCAATTTCGACAACTTTTATAATAATGGCAATACGGGGATATGTAACTATAACTTGAGAACCTTTTACAACTGTTGCAATTTGAATTAAACAAAAGAAGCAGATATAAGAATCTTTCATGTCAATTACCAAAGTTGCCAGTCCATGACCAGCTAGTGCCCCTCCAATGACTCCAAGAGGTGAAGAGGCTGCAGCAAGAGCTGAACCAAGGCAAAAACTTAGTGTTATTACATGACTAAAAATAACATGAGCATTACCATACAAATTGCGAAGATTTTTTGTTTAACTCCGTAGTCTGTAAGTAATAATTTGAAACAAAATCTGAAGGACCGGTACTTACCAATTGTGGAAAAAAATGATTTATCACCCCATTCAGCTACAAATACTAAAAGGAAAGTGCTAATGATTGTGCTAGCCGCAGCCAAAATCCCAGCACCATTGCCAAAAACTTCAGACACAGCTATCTCAGCCTGGAACAATATAAGCAAATGTTGATAATTGTTTAACAAGGGTTGGGTTCCGGTGAGAATGAAAGTTATATTGAGATGGGTAAGAAGGGATCTTCACCCTTGGATCAATCTTAATCGAAGAGAACCACTAGATCAGCACTAATGAGATACACTAGATCAATTCCCTTCTAAAGCGCAACTCATGGGTTGTTTTGGGATTAAAAGTAATCAAGGGTCCAAATCCCTTCTTACACTTCTCACCTTAACTCCTATTCTCACACGATCCTTCGTCTGTCTAACAAAACTAGTATGTGTTTCAACTTAAATCCTATGCAAGTTCTTTAACTTTTTAAAACAAAATGTAAGACCATTTAACTTCTATCAGAGATGCTACAAATTGGAAGAAGTTTGCGTCAACATTTGTGACGCCCAACATTAAATATGAATCTGAAGAAATAACAGGTCTAAACTCAAAAATCAAAGAGTTATTATCTTTTTAATGGTATGAAGAAGGGTTGGTTTCAGTTGCAAACTTATGATCATTACCTCCTTCTGTTCTTCTTCTGCTTTAAGACCATCACCAGAGGAGGCATCAAGCAACGTTGAAACACCAAAATAAACCTACAATTGATTCAAATGAGATGTGTAATGCTAATCTCAACCACATCTAAAGCTTTACACTGTTAATCCCTTGAACTTGAGAAGTTTAATATGCACTGTTGTTAGGTGTTCCATCTAGATGGATATTGGTTTTACTATTTTACCAGAAGTGTATCTATATAAAAATAGATTTCACATATTACCAGAAGCAATGCTGCAGCAATATCATCAATTGGCAGGTCCATGTCACCGAATCTGGTATTCAAAATATTATATTAGGATGACAAAAATGAACTTATTTTACCATCTACTAGGGATTATTGAGAAGGGAAGAAAAATGATATTGTGAAGAGTAGACCTGAAGGGAAGGATTTCATCTACATAGTGAAAAGTTCTCCCAAGAACAACAGATATGATGGTCATTACCCTGATCAATAAACAAAATACAAGCATGTTACAACTTACAACTATTTACCTGTTTTAAGCATAGAGCAAGTATATATATTGTCACAAACTACATGATGAATGATCCAAAGTAATCACCCAAAGAACATTCATTTGATGAAAGAAGCATTTGCATGCCATTCATATGCGAAGCCGACAATTTTGAGAAGAAAATGATTTACACTAACATGCAAGTTCTCTAAGTTACTTGCATGTGGTAAATACTTTTGTAGGGCAAAATATATGCTTACCCTTAGTATCGTAATGTTTTAATGCAATTCAATCGTATATAAATGATACATTCGAGAAAGGCTGTATATAATTTACCCAAGTGCACCAAAAGTCCCCAAAAAGATAACTGCAGCAGAATTCCGAGCTGCTAAAAGTGCCTGCAAAATTGATGTGCAATAGCTTGTAATACAGCTTTGAATCTTATTTATTAGAAAATATTATAGTCTAGAAGAGAAGAAATGGTTAAAAAGATATACATTCACATGACTGTCAATAGTGTTACAGTGCCTGATTTTCTTTTATATAACAGTACATGATGGAAATGAACTAGTCAATCGGTTATGGAAAAGATCAACAGTCTATATTGGGAAGAGTTCAGTTACCGCAATGAAGAAGGTTTTGTCCCCTAGCTCAGAGAAGAATATTAGCAAGAATGCCTGGAAAAAAAGTTATGTCAATATTTGTTTGTAAAGAGTTCAGTTTCATGTATATGCGTGTTTTTGTATTGTGGAAGGCATCTATTCTCAGAGGATGGTGAACAAAAATGATAACAGCACACTAAAAGAAAAAATAACAGCAATAATAACTTATCATAAGTTTCAATTATGTCACGAGTTATAGGGAGATTATATTAACTGAAGCAAAACCTGTGCTTAAATCACTGAGATCTCCAAAAAATGAGCTAGACTGCAACAGATTAGCAACATCTGAACCAGCAAGGGCGCTTTGAGCATCTTGAAGAGTTAAAATCCCAAAGAACAGCAAAAACTTTAGGTAGCTATTCCGTGATGTATCAATAGATAAGTCCTTAGAAGGAAGTGACGTTTTTGCTGTCAACATATTTCTTGAATTTGATTTGCCCGAAGTACTGCATTCCCAATCCTCCACATTGTGGGCAAGTTTAGTTGGATCATTACCATCAGAACGAAATACCTTGAATTGAAATCCCCAAATACATGTCAGCATGTTAAACAAACACAAATCCTAGAAAAACAACATATTCCTCTTTGAAAACAGGATCTTGAATGTCATAAAAACACCATAAGATTCACTAGTTTGCACAAACTACCTCAAAAGATGATCCACGTTGGTCTTATACATGTAAGAGAATACATATAAACAGAAAATGTAGGATCCAAAACTTGCTTAAGAAGAGACTAACATTCATATGGTATCTTGAGTGCTGAAATTGCCTGAACCGCCTATCATGTAATTTGATACAATGTTGCCTGCAAGAGATGAGATTCTTGTGATTTGTATGCTACTTCAATCTAGCTCAAAAATGTACTTATTGGCTTTCTAAATCAAATGGTATCAAAATTGCCATGCAGTCTTCAGAATTTTGGAAAATTTTCTGATAATATTAAAGGCTTAACATAGACAAGGTAACTAGATGATCCAGATGTTGAGTTCCTGGAAAAATCCTGATCAATATTTGATTTGAAAAGTAGGGAGCATGTAAATATGATTTTAGCGATGTTCTTCTTTCTTCCTAAAAAAGGGAAGACTGTTATTTATCATCTCGATAAATTCGTTACTTGTTTCTGTAATAACTAACTTTAGGGTGAAAAATATTGTAACTTCAAGAAATACTTGTCCATTTTCTTTTGATCCACTATGAAGAACTACATACTCCAGGTTAAAATTGTAGCAATATTCATTTTGGGATCCATGGATACTGAATACTCATTTTGCAAACTTCAAGCTAAGAAGACAGATTTTGCTCATTACTACAATTATTGAAATTATAACTATCCATAAGATCCTCTATTTTGGGCACACATTTGATTAAACATCAAATATGGATATCAAATTAGTGTAAATTCAAATGATTTTTTCCTGAAAATCGAGAGGAACAAACTACATTTCTAATTTTGGACCAAAAAACGACATGGAATTCCTGATTCACTCATTACCGATCAACTATCTTTTCTGGAGAACACCAACTTTAAAATTTTCTAGAAAGACTTTGGAAAGCACAACACAAGGGTGAAATTGTGGAACTCAAACACGATTACACGAACACTAATTCATAGTTAATTTTAGGCGTCAGCTCGAAACATAAACCCTTGCATCTCCAATTCTAAAAACATACAAAACCTACCATTCAGAAAATGCATTATGCATTAACATCAATCATCGATTTGATAACTAATTACGAAACAAACATCGCATACAATGTTCATGATTCATGAACTCGAGCAAAGAAAAGTTCATAACAGAAACAATTCGAAACTATAAACATACCTGAAGAAAACGCGAGATTGAGAGGTATGAACAGACGAAACATTAGAATCCAGAAAACATCGAAAGAATTTCGAAGGTTTAGAAGAAGAAGAAGATGATGATGATGATGATGATGATTGAGTCGAAAGCGACGCCATCCTCCTCATGGAAAACACGCTCTCTGATGAACAGAGAGTCGTCATGCTTCCCATTTCCACACAGTTTCACCTCTACAATATGTGTGTGTGGATCACCTTCCTTTTAATTGGCTCCAATTTGTTCTGGATAAGCAAAACGAAAGTGAGGCCGTTACTTTCCCACCTCCATTTTTTTTATCCAACTCCTCCTTGTACATTACGCATAAAAAATGGTACCTTAAAAACGATATATAAAAGGGAAAGTTCACACCGATTTACTATATTATCTTCGTATAATTATTTAACAAATTAATTTAAAAAAATAAATTACATAAAAATAAAATATATTTTATTTAAATTCCTATTTAGAAAAATTATAATTTTAAAAGCTTCATTTGATAACTAAAATTTAATAATTCATCTTTAGAAATTTTTTTGTTTAAAAACTTAATAATTTTTTTCTTGATAGTTTGCAATTTATCGTTATTTTTATCCCTAGGTTAATTCTTATCTTTAAATACAAGGGACAAAAACAATAAATAGTTGTAAACCACAGGGACAGAAACAATAATAAATTATAAATAGCGAAAACCATAAGGTCAAAAAAAGGTTATTTAATTTAATTATTGTACTTTTGGTTTTCAGCCCGATGGGCTACGGTTATATTTTGGGCCAGGCCAGCATATTAGACTTGTCGAATGTTGGGCCTTTATGGTATATTATTGAAGTATAAAGATGGTTAAAATGGGGTGGGTCCAAATCAATCCGAGTCTCAATTTGCCTTTTAGTAATTGGTTCTCATCTCGACCAATATACCAAGGCCCGTTTTCCATGTTCTGTGACATGTCCCATGCTGGGCCCAAATAAAATTACTTTCAACGATATCATAAACACAATTTGCATATCCTTATGGTGCGTTTGGTTTGCAGGATTGTTTATGATGGATTTGGATTCCCAGGAGGGATTTGGATTCCATGGGATTTGGATTGGATTGGATTTTAAATCCATTCCTGTGTTTGATTTGCATGATTTGGATTGGATTTGAAATCCATTCCTGCGTTTGGTTTGTAGGATTTGGATTTGGATTGAGAACAAAAATTCTAGGTAAGCAATGCCAGCAAGATCATGGACAACTATTCATGGAGACATAAACCCACAAAGTATTTTGAGCTCAAGATCAACCAAAATGCAATATATATATATATATATATATATATATATATCATTGAAAAATTTAACCTAATATGTCAAAATAGTTGTTGTTAGAATAGGGTATTCAAACATATATACAATATATATATACACACCCACACATAATGAAGCTGGTTAGGTCGGCAGCTTCGTGAAGAACTAAATCAAGAAAAGGGGACATGATTAGGGTTTAAAAGGGATTTACCTGCTGCTTGATGGGAGAAGGCAGCGAAGAGGAAGTGTTTATCGGCGGCAGCTTCGCAAGGGGACGGGACGCGACGACCACCATGGGAGACAGCGACAGAGACGGTGAGCGACGACCACCGTGGGAGACGACGATGGAGACGGTGAGCGACGACCACCGTGGGAGACGGCGACGGAGACGGTGAGCGACGATGGTGAGCGATGACGGTTTGGAGGAGTCGATGGTAAGCTGGGAGAAGATGGAGACAGTGAGCATTGGAGGAGGCAATGAGAAGATGGAGACGGTAATAGGGGAAAAAAGAAATCCCACAGAATGGATTTCAAATCTCGTCTATTTTGAAAGGATTCTCAAATCCAGTGTTGGTGGGATTTTAAATGAATCCCAGGTTTTCAAATCCTACCATTCCTACAAACCAAACGCAGGATTGGATTGGATTTTAAATCCAAATCCCTCCAAATCCCTTCAATTCCAGCAAACCAAACACGCCCTTAGTATGATCTATATACCTCCTTTGAGACATCTAACGAGTTGAACTTGCCTCCATCACCGACTTCCCTGGCATGAACCCAGACTGATTCTCTATCAATCTTGTTTTTTGGCTTCTTGTTGAACGCTGGACAACGTTCTAACTGCGTGACTAAGTATATTTGGTCAACGATATCCTATAACTCCACTGTTCTGGAGATTTAGGAGGTTAAATATCGTAAAAGTTGAAAAGTGAGAATGAATATAATTTATGTATATAAACAGTATGTAATTAAAGTCAAACAAAAATAAAGTGATCGACAGTATTATAAAACTAATTTTTAACGATTTTATTAAAAATAAAATCTAAAATTTATTCTTAATAAAAATAGTTTTATTTGGCAAAATGAACTACTTTTGACGATATTATTAGATAAATTTTGGACTTCAATTTATTTTCAATCATAACAAACGAAAATATATGAACAATTTCATATTATTATTATTTATAAAATCTGAATTATAATGTTTTCTTATATATATATATACTAGAAGGGTACTCATACAATGCATCGAGACACATTTTTATTTCAATGTTCCGTCTTATTTTTTGTCCATGTCGATATAATATTATTTTATGTGATTTTGAGAAAAACGATAATGTTTTTATTTTTGAATAAAATATAAATTTGAATATATCATATAAAATTTGTAAAAAATATATCAATATTAGTATCAAATTAATTATTTAAAAGTTCTTGTTTATATATTTTTTTCTTAATCCAAATTTTTTATTGTAAATTAATTTAACTTAATTTAGGTTTAATAATATTTTTTTATAAAGACAATAATTCAGTATTATGTTAGAATTCAATAATTATCATAATTATATTTTAGATTTTTTATATTTTAAAATGAGATGTTTATCCTTTATTTAATTATGTTTATCCGCAGTTAGTTACACAAATTCAAACATAAAACTTTAATAAGTTGTACTTATGCACAATTTACTTGTAATATTGAATTTTAAGTAATATGCGTTAATAAACAGTACTCCGTGTATAAAAAATGGTTTTTAAGAGTTTTTGTCAAATATTTTATAATATAATGTGTGTGTGTATATATATATATATATGTCTTAAATATTCAAGTTTTAGGGGTTGTTTGGCAGTTGCTGAATAGTTTGGTACAAGATGATTAAGAGGCTCTCATAATGTAGTGTAAAATAAAATATAATTGTTTGGTAATTATTTACAATGAAATTAAAGAGCTAGATGATTAAGGAATGCCTAAGATCCAAGATCATTTAAAAGGTTTTAAACCCATTAAAAAATAAACTTTTTTTTTTCTATCAAACAAAATTCTCATAAATTTTAATTATTTTTTTAAGTATTTATTAAACATTAATAAAACTCGACTTTAAAAGAAATTATTTAAATACGAATCTTGTCTTAAATCATGTGCACGTGTTGAAAGTAGTGGGTTACATGTTGGAAGCAGAACCTTTAATTTTTGGAATGATTAATCTCACATTTTGACCAAATTTTCAAGTTTTCGGCTTATTACAAAATAAATAAATTTAGCTATCATCTGATAAATTTATATATTGTGATAACCGTAAAAAATTAGGTATGATTTTAAATGATCATTTTTAACCTCAAACTCACTCATAAATCACACTTGATATGAAAATTAATCGGTACATCTCATTTTAATATATACATTTTTATGCTTCTCATATTAACTCACCTGGTTGATACTCTGCATCCCACTTGGTGAAGTACAACCATGCTTTTTGTGTAGTAAGAACCAATATAAAATTAATTACTTAATTTAAAGGTTGGGCAATTCTGAAGTAACATATTTGTGACCACAAGCTAGTGGCTTGAAAGCAAGTCTTGGCTCACCAAATTTTCTTGCAAAATATGATATTATAATGTTATAGTTCTGACATTAAACGTGCTATCATTATATGTATTTTGGGGATAAATGTGTTTTTATATATGGGTTGGGTTTCAATAAGAATGAGAAGCTATGATTCGAAGTGTAAGAAGAGATCTCTATCTTTGGATTAATATTAATTGAATGTCAAGTAATGAGGTGCACCAAGATGCACCAGATCAATTTTCTTCTAAAACGTAATTCATGGGTGGACATGAAATCAAAAGTTCAAATTTTTTTCTTGCGTTTCTCAACATAACTTTCCTTTTCACATGATCCGTTGCCTTTATATATTGTTAAATATACATATACCTATTAATTTATTCACATGCACATCAATATCAAGACCTATATTTTACATTCTCAATGCATAAATTGACTCAATTCTGACATGATGGACATCTCACGGTTAGAGATGCATAAAATTGGTCTAGGATTGACTTCATGATTGGAACATGGTTCGTCTATGGCTTGGAAAACATAAACGAAAGTCTTAACTGGTCCCTATTGGTGGATTCAGATTTATTTTGAATGTACTAGAAGGGTACTCGCGTAATATAATGAGATATATCTCGATTTTAAATGTTTTGTTTTATTCTATCCATTGCCGATATTATAACACGGTTTTATGTGGTTTTGTGAAAAATGATAATGTTTTTATTTTTGAATAAAAATATAAATTTGAAGATATCTTAGAATTTAAAAAATATATATCGATATTAGTATCAAATTAATTATTTAAAAGTTCTTGTTTTGTTGTGTAATTTCTTTAATCCAATTTTTTATTATAATTTAATTTAAAGTTAACGAAGTAATTTATTTTTGATTTAATAATATAATTTTCTATTCTGTTAGAACACAATGATTATCCTAATTACATTTAAGATTTTTTATATTTAAAATGAAATGTTTATCCAGTATTTGATTATGTTATTTTGCAGTTAGTTACACGAATTTAAGCAAAGAACTTTAATAAGTTGTACTTATACATTATTTACTTGTAATCTTTGATTTTAAATAATATGCATCAATAAATAATATTTTATGTATAAAAATTGGTTTTTAAAAGTTTTTATCAAATACTTTATAATATAATATAGATTTTATACATAAACATGCATATATATATATATATATATATATATATATAGGGGCCTATTCAAGGGAGAACTGAGTTGTTTGTGGTAACTGTGAGAACCAATATTAACCACAAATCAATAGATAAATTAGGAAATTTATAAATTTGGTAATTTTAAATTAAAATCTTAATGCAATTATATTTTTGGTATTTTAAAACTCTCC